GTACTTAAAAGATGTGTTGCATGGGAAAAAAAATCTACTGTCAAAGACCTCTCCAAAGTGGAAAAGAAAGTATGACATTTAAACTATGATGCACCTGAACCAAGTCATAGTCTTTTCAGTTACTTGCTATGTGTCTTTATGTTGGACAGTGAATAAGGATGACAGAAGAATCGTCGATGCCTTTGAGTTGTAGTTTTAGAAAAGAGTAATGAATATTCCATGAACTGTCAAAAGAATAAACAAGTAAGCCTCGGTGAAAGTGCAACCAGAATGCTTTTAAGGCAAGAATGGTAAAACGTCATTTCACATACTTTGGGCATATTAGAAGGCACTGGTTCTTGGTAAAAGATATGCTTGGAAAGGTCAGCAAAAGTGAAGACCCTCGATAAGATGGCCTGACACAGTGACTGTATCACTGGGCTCAAGTAGAGATGAGGGAGATGTCACAGGATAGGGCAAGGTTCGTATCAGTACTCAACAGGGGTGACTGTGAGCTGTCATCAGCTGCATGGCACCTAACAACAGCAACCGGCAAGAAAGAGACTAGCAGTTTTGAATTGAGGGGAAAAGCCACTTGTGGGAGTAATCTTGGTTGCAAGTCAGGAATAGTGTTTGTTTGTTTGTTTTTTAAAACAATTAATTGGTTGTATGGGTTTGGAGGGGGAAGAACCCTTAAAAATATGATATTAATGTGAGTTTTTCTCTTTGACTCTCCCCCCGCCTTTTCTACAAAATAAATGTTTTGTGAGTTAAATTCATTTAGGGAGTTGCATCTATTTTCTTAGGAGTATATTCAAACTCATTGCCATGGAAGCAGAACCATCCCATGGCTGACCCTCCACTGGGTTCTTGCAGTTGCAAAGTGCATGAGAGGCACAAAAATGTGAAAGGAGAGAGCTTGTGGCTTAGAATTAGTGAGCATAAATGGAGGAGGGTAGAGATCAAGTCTTTGTGGTATGAACAAACTATATGGAAAATCTCATTTACATTCAGAGGGTAGGTTACATGCCAAAGACTCTTTGGAAATGCTGCTTTTGTTTGTACTTTAAAGGAAAATGGAAAAACTTGAAGCTGCCCCACAGGAACAAATAGATGAAGGATTTTTTTTTTTTTTCAGGCCAAGCTTTTGTGGAAAGCTGCTGTCCCTCAGGGAGTAGTTTCAGCTTGAGTAATTAACTCATGATTATGCAAAGATCAATTTACCTAGTCTCTTTGTTTTCCCTATCTATCTTCCTTGCCTTGGGCTACTTCATTTCTTATTATCATCCTCACTGTGTTAGAACTGATCACAAAGAAAGATGGCAGAAACCAGACAAGCTCCAGTGCCATTCAACTTGTGTTGCTCATTTTGCTTGGAAAAAAAAGAAACTAAATGTGATATTTTGGGTCAGTAATTATTTTTTTTGTTAAGGTTAAATATGCAACACTTTTGTCAAAGAGTTCTGAATAAAGCACCTCGTAAAATAATCACTATCAATCATAATTGTTTAGAAGAGCCTTTCAGAGCATATGAATCCTTTGTCATCCAACAGTGTCTGGTAGCAAGGACTTTTTAAATATTTGTAAAATATTGGATGAACATATATAAATTTTTGTGAGATGTGTAAGGTTGGTGTTTATGAACATTGTTAAATTGAGAAAAAACAAGATTTAGTTTTGTGAAAAACCTCAGTGTGTAAAGAAACACTAAAAATTAATGTACCAGTATATTTATTAGGTGTTGTTAATATGTACTGTCGAGTAAGAACTGACTCATACCTGACCTTCTAGCCAGTTTTCAGAGGCAGTAAAATCACATAGAAAATTGCCACTTATATCTCCCTAGCAGCTGGTGGATTCAAATTGCCTGCCTTTGGGTTGGCAGAGCAGCTTTTTACCATTAGGTAACTAGAGCTCCTTCGTGTGCTTCTGTTGTTGTTAGATGCTGTCAAGTCCACTACAGCTCAAAGAGACCCTATGAACAGCAGATCTGAACCCAGCCCTATCCTGTGCCATTCTCATCATCTTTGATATACTTGAGTCCATTGCTACAGTCCATCTTGTTAAAAGAGTCTTCCTCTGTTTTGCTGACCTCCACCTTTCCAAGCATGTTGTCTTTTTCCAAGGACCCCTCACAGCATGCTCAAAGTATGTGAGATTAAATTTTACTATCCTTGCCTCTTGGGAACATTCTGGTTGTATTTTCTCTAAGTTTATCTGACAGTCCATGGGATATTCCGTACTCTTCTCCAGCACCAGAGTTCAAAGGCATTGATGATTCTTTTGTCATCCTTATTCACTGAGCAACTTTCAAAAACAGCAAATAATTGAAAAAAAAGTGTCTTGGATGAAATGTATCTTGGTCTTTAAACTGGCATCATTGCTCTTTAGCACTTTGGAGAGGTTCTTAACAGTAGATTTTCCCAATGCAACATATCTCTAGATCTCCTTACTTCTGGTACGAAGGATGCTGCTTGTGGATTCCAGTGAGATGAAATTATTGACAACTCAAGTCTTTTCTCTTTCTGTCATGATGCTGATGTTGCCTATTGGTGCAGTGTGAGGATTTTTGTTTTCTTTTTTAAAAAAATTTCTACTAGTTTATTTCTAAAACTTGAATACATTGTTCTTAAGAACAAATTCTTTCCGTGTCCCCCTAGCACCCCATCAAATTGTACAACCCCATTATTAATCCCCCAACCCCCACCTTCCCACACATCCTCATCCCTCTTCCACCCTCTCCCACCCCTCTTGGATCCTTATGCTCTCCAGGTCCCTCCCAAATTAATAATTTACAAAATCATTGCTCCTGCGTGCTGCATAGTATTCCATCATGTGAATGTACCACAATTTCTCAATCCATTCTTTTGTGATTGGAAATTTTGGCTGTTTCCATGTTATTGTGATGATAAATAATGTGGCTGTGAACATTAGTGTACAATGTCAGTTTCTGCCTCAGTTCTCATTTTTTCAGGGTATATTCTAAGTAGTGGAATAGCTGACTCATATGGAATTCCTATGTTCAGCTTTTTGAGGAAGCGCCAGACTGCCTTCCAAAATGGTTGTACCATTTTACAATCCCACCAACAATGTGTAACAGTTCCTTTCTCACCACATTCTCTCCAGTATTTATTACTTGTTGCCCTGTTAAACTTTATTCAACAAGGAAAAAAAGCAAAGCTATCAAATGGGGAAATGATAACGTCTTCAACAAATGGTGCTGGCCAAACTGGACTTCCACCTGCAGAAAGGTGAAAAAGGTCCACATCTCACACCATACACAAAAATCAACTCAAGGTGGATCAAGACCTGGGAGTAAAGCCCAAAACCATAACTTTCATATGAGACAAACTGGGATCAAGCTTAGAAGCAGTAGTCTAAGGTATAAAGAGACTGCCAAATACAACCAGAAATGCACAGTCTGAAGAGGGTAAAATGCATGGACCTCCTAAAGATTGTGGGCGTCAAAACTTTTTTCCAATAAGTAAAAAGAAAACCTACAGACTGGGAACAACATTTGGCAATACCATCTCAGACAAGAGTCTTATAACAAAAGTTTACAGAATACTCCTGGGCCTCCACAAGAAAAAGACTGATAACCCAATTACAAAATGGGCAAAAGACATTGAAAGAATTTTCACAGAGGAAGATGGCAAACAGACACATGAAAAAAATGCTCCAAATCACTAGCAATAAAAGAGATGCAAATCAAAACCACAAAACCACCATCTCACTCCAGTAACAGTGGCAAAGTTTAACAGTGCAGCAAGTAATAAATGTTAATTTTTGTTTTTTTGAAGTTGAGGTGTAATCCATATTATACTCTAAGACTGTAGTCTTAGATCTTCTGCAGCTAGTGTTATAAGTCCTCCCCACCTGACTCAACATCTTGTAACAACAGCACTTTCAGCAAGCAAGGTTGTGTGTTGATGAGTCCTCCTCCAACTCTGATGCCATAGTCCTCTTCATAAACCCCAGCTTCTTGAGTTATGTGCTCAGCATACAGATTTAATAGGCATGGAGAAAGGATACAGCCCTGATGCACACCTTTCTTGATTTTAAACCATGTAGTGTTCCCTTCCTCTGTTGGGACAACAGCTTCTTGGTCTAGGTGTAGCCTTTGCATGATCACAGTTTAGTGTTCTGGGATTCTTCTCATTCTTAGCCACCAGAGCTCCCTCATTTGTTGTTAGGTGCCATCACAGATCTGAACTCTGTCCTATCCTGTGCCAACCTCACAGTCTCTGACACATGCAAACCCATTGCTGCAGTTACTGTGTCGGCCTCATTGGGACCCTCCGTCAGCTTCGTGGGGCTATAAATCTTTGCAGGAAGAGCCAGTCTTTCTCCTGTGGAGCACCTGGTGGTTTTGAACCACTCAACCTTTCAGTTAGCAACCTGACACACAATGTATTGGATAGAGGGTGTGAGAAGGGGGAAACTCAGTCTTTAATTTGAACAACATTAAAGCTGAAAATTAACTTTAGAAGATGACAGGATCACCAGGTTTAAAGAAGTGGGTACAGAGTTCAGTTTGGGTGTTTTGGAACTACCAGATCGATGGTTGGTTTACTTGAGTTGAGGTAATTAGTGTCAGACTGAAAGTATAAATTTGGGAGGTTTGAGCAGTGGATGGTACTTAAGTGTGGGTACTAGATGAGATCCAGATGGATAAGAGAGCTGGTGGCTTAATGGCTGGGTAGTTGTTCTGCCAACCCAAAGGCAGGCATGTTTGAATCCACCAGCTGCTCCTTGGGAGAAACTTGGGCTCTCTCCTCCTGTGTGAGGTACAGTCTCTGAAAACCAGCTAGAAGGTCGGCTGTGGGTTGGTTCTGACTCCACAGCAGTGAGTTTATATGGATAACACAGATTTATTTCCAGGAAGCAAAAGACAAAAACATTCTATTATAATATTCTAATGTATTGAAAACATTAGATTTATATTTTTCTGCAATGTGTGGTCTCTTAGTAGCGTATTTGTTTTTCTAACTTGTTTGTTTGTTTGTTTTTTCACTTTTCAGGCTGGAGTGAGACAGCTTTATGTACAGATTGACTTTGCAGCCATGTAGTAGTGAATGAAAAGAAATGATGCTTTTTTTCCCCCCACCAAATTTTTCTGGTACTGTACAATCCAAAACATTTTACTCTTCTTTTTAAAATGGTTCATCACTACAAAACCCCCATCCCATCAGCACCAGTAGGCCAGAGAGTCAGCTGTCCGTGCTCTGCTGTGAGGTCACAGCCAGGGAGTCACAATTAAATGGATATCTCCTGGACTTCTGGTCTTGTCTTTTCTGCTCCTCCCTCCAGATCATTCTGATATCTGAGGTTTCTGATTGTGTTCCAGGATGTTGGGTTTCTGTGTCTATTTTTTTTCTCTCCCACGCCCTCCTGCCCCCAGCTCTCCTCTCCCAGCCAGTAGGAAATTCAGACTGTGGCCTCCCTCCACTCATCTGGAATGTCTTCATTGAAACTGCTCAAAAACCACTGCTTTCATTCCCATAAAACCAGTGTTATTTAGAAGGAAAAAAAAATGGAAATCTGTTTTTTATGTAAAGTCAAAACTGTTGATGTTTTTTCAGTATAATCATATGTTTGTAAAATTGTTTGTACTTTGCAAACTTATGAACCAAACCATATTGGGTTTTCAAAGTGCCTTTGTATCAGGAAATGTATTTGCCAGCATAGACATATACCATCCAAGGTCATGTATGTATCTTTTTAAAAAATGGATATTCTGTTAACTGTACAAAGTGAGATTCATCTTAGTAATGTATACATTTGTGTGTGTGTGTGTGTGTGTGTGTGTGTGTGTGTGTGTACTTCAGCATAAGTTTATATGTATAAAAATTTTTGTTGTTTTATCTTGTAAAAAAATAAAAAGTTATTTTACCCTTTAGAAAATCAGTTATCACATTAAGTTTTACTTTTTAGAATCTTGCTAATGCATCTGTTGTACAAAAAAGTTGTTTTGTTTTCTTAAATTTGAAAAATACAAATTTCTATAAAAGTGTCTATATTGATGTTTCAAAAATCTCTCCTTACTGTTTTTATGGATTTTATTTTTTTATTTGGATTTTATGAATGAAAGGGATAGGCCAGGTAGACTGAGGGCCAGGTAAACTTGTCCAAACAGAAATAAACCTGAACTAATTTTGTTTTCTAAGCCTAAATTATGTTAATAAAGATGAAGGGCTTAACATATACACAACTTCTTTTTTTGCTATCTTCAAAGAGCATCTTTGTGAAGAACTGTTCAGGTAGGCCCCTTCATATTTTTGAGAAACTGGATATACAATGTGTTTTCTTGTCTATCTTATCAGTCATATATATAAAGTACAATATTGTAGCACGTAATTTTCTGTTGTTACCATTCTTATCCACTTAAAATGATCAAAGATTAATTTTTTAAGATACTGATATTAAAAAGCAATAGTAAAGAAAAGTTACAAAAGTAGTAAGTGAGGTGTCCAACTTAGATGAGAACCAGCCAATGCATTTATCAGAATGGGACCATGTCAAAAGTCAGGGACTGCCTGTATCTAGTTTATCTGTGACTCTTGCCCCTCATGCTGTTATCCTTACATTTTCTTCAGAAGCACAAATGTGTGAAGTGGTAACAGGTGGTATTAACATTGTGATTTCTCTTATAACTGCAACATTTCAATATTCTTCAAAGCTTATGCATAGATACATATACCAGTAGCCGAAATACTGTGATATGGTGTGTGTGGGTGGGGGTGTGGGTGTGGGTGTGTGTGTGTACGTACACTTGCAGGAAACCATCTCTGCAAAGCAACCAAATCATTTACTCAAAATGCTGTTGATCAGAGTTCTAATTCCTGGTTTTTATAGCGATTCCTAATATGGCCATCCTATTCTATAACTCTGAGATTTATAAATGACAGTATTACAATTTTACACCTGTCGGGGCAGTCCTGAAAAGCAGTCTAGTTCTTTGTTTTAGAGATTAGAAAACTGAAATCCCAAAAAGTCATTTGCTCAAGCCATTAGTGGCCAAGGCAAGTCTATAGATTTCGCGCCTTCTGACTCCAAGTCTAGAGTTCTTTCTACTTTATTGTGCTATCTCCACAACATAATATTTCTCTTCCTGTAAATGTGATTAAATTCATTTATAACAAAAGGATATCTGACCTCCAGTTTTGATACATTAAGGCACTTTCTAATGCAGTTTTGTTTCACTTTTGACAGCTAATTATTTGGTTTACAATATTATTTCCATAGTAATCTTAATAGAAAATATTTTCTTTTTACAGTTAGAAAACCAGTTACTGATTTTCTTTTTAAAAAAAAGACATTTATACATTGGATCCTTACAGCTTATGAGTGAATTTGTTTTATAAATGTTTTAAGGATTACTTTGCTTATAATCTGAAAACTAGTGCCTCTAATTAATAGATTATGTCCTTTTCAGTCTTGTAATTTTAGATTAGTCAGTAAAAAGCTTTTGCATTTTAAAGTTTCTTCTCAGAGCCAAGAAAAGTTGGGCAATACATTTATATAGAACAAAAGAAATAATTTAATACAATGGAGTAAAATTTTGAATCCCAAATGGCAAATTTCTTGTCACTCTTCATGTAAGAAAATATAACCTTGGGAAGGTTGACTTTTCTTTTGTTACTATCTTTAAAATAGAAATTGTTTTCCAACTCTGGAACTTTGGGAAAAAGAAATTTTTTTTTTCCTTTGAAAACATTCCCTAAATGTTTTACTAATCAGTGCAGGAAGATTATTTCAAGTCATGATTTGTCCAAAGCTTTAACGATCCAGAACTTTGCCACATAATCAAGACACATTCAACTATACAATGAAATATTAGGAATTAGAAAAGTATTCACAGAAAAGAAGCTCAAGTATATTCTAAAGTCTAAATGGATGTGAGTCTTTTGATGAGACCATCTTTGATGTATGTTTAATTATTCCCTGATTACAGAAAAGGTGGGGAATAAGCCTTAAAAAGCATTTTATGTGACCAGCACTTTGTGTAGCCTATTTTATATGACCATATTTAACACTGTATCTATAAAATGAATTTTTACTAGTTAACATTTGCTTTTTTATGATCAACTGATGAGTTTATATTATCCCATTTAATTCTTTCAGTATCCCTGTGAGGAAGAAATCTTCATCTCCATTTTATAAATGGGGAATCTGCTGCAAGAGAATTTATGGCTTGCCTGGGGGACACCAGTGGTAGGGCATTCATTGATTCTGATTCCAGTACTTCTTCAACCAAATTAGTTTTGTGGTGGTCAGCTTTTTAAAGACTTGAACAGATGCCTATGAAGTCAGTGAACAGACACTATTGATAAAATTGATATAAACAGTTCTACGTTTAATCCCTTCCCTCTCCTTCTTACACTTATGATCTGTCCTATTTTTATCAATCTTAAACTGTAAGTACAAAAATAGAGCAAGCAGAGTTCCTTTAAGCACCTTTAAAAATTTTCTAAAAAGAATGTTTTATTGACACAGTAACAGTGGTAGCACAATGTTTAAATGCTCAGCTAACCCAAAGGATGATGGTTTGACCCTACCCAGTGACTCTGTGGGCAGCCGATCTGGCATTCCGCTTCTGCAAAGGCTACAGCAGGAAAACCTTGTGGGGCAGTTAGCTGTCACATGAGGCTGCTAACTAGACTGCGCTCATCAACAAGCTCTTATAGGCCCTGGCCCTCAAAAGATAGAGCTCTCTGTGACAGTAGTAGAGAAGTTGAACTCCTGACCAACTAAATGTAATGTTCTTGGTTAGAGAATTGTCTGCTGCCGGAGAGTGATAAATCATATCTGATGTACAACAACAGTGTTTTATGCATATTTTAAAAGGAAATATTTCATTAGTAATAATGAATGTTTACATGTAAATATATTAAACTTTGAACTGTTCCCATTGCTTTGAAAATTTAGCATTTATAAATTTGAGCATGCTGGAAAGCCTTTAAAAATGCCTTTTCTTATATAATTTGATCCCCCAAAAGGCAAAATTTATACTCCTATACATAAACATTCAGTGAACTAAAAAGTATATATAGTATATGGTAGTGGGTCAAAAGTGGAGGTTTGGGGTAGGTGAAACCAATGATTTACTGTTTATTACATAAAACATCTTCGCATTTCTTTGACTTTTTATTTTTTGCACAAAAGTGATCATATTCTCTTTGGCCTTCCCTGTACCCCACTCCTCATATGCATGAGAAATGTAAAAAGCTTTTGCATTTTAAAACTTTTGCATTTTTTTACATTAATAGTTGTATATAGAAAGTTTGATCCATTTTGCATATTGGTGGACAGTAATTTAGCAGAATTGGAACTGAAAAACCTGGATCACTTGAATTTTCTGAATTTTGTATAACCTAACCCATTGTCTCCTTTATTTCTATTGAAAATTGCCACATTCATAGTCTTTTTTTTAGGATGTGTGTATACCATGTTCCCTGTTTCATTTTCTCCAGATGTAGTATCCCAGACTCGTGCTGAAGTATTTCTTGAAGGTGCTGCTATCAAACAACACTACATATATTTACTAAGTGATTTACATTTTTCCTAAAATGGCTACTACCTTTTTCTTTTTCACCCCTAAATACTGAATTTTAATAGAACCTGGATTGATTTCTTCCTTTATTTTTCTCCCCATTTCACTGCTGCGTTGTCTATAGGCCTTCTGTTTTACTCCAGTGGAGGGGAAAGAGCTTTATTCTAAATTTTAATATCTGGATTTTGTTTACAAATCATGTATCTATCATACATAACCTTTAGCCTCAAGGAAGATTGTATTTTGGATGAAACTTAGTTTTTGGTTTTTCAGATAACTTTCCCCTCCCAATCTTTCCTTTAATAGCAGCAAACTTAGTGACATTTTTTCACAAATGATATTTTGCCCTGGTCTTTTACATCAGAATACTGTGAGTTAAAAATTGCCAAAACTCTTCTCAACAAGTGTACCTGTGTGACACTCCTTGCCTTTGTTTCTAAGCAGATAGTAAATTGTGGACGTAAGCTTGATTGCTTAGGTGAAGATTGTGGCTTTGAAGCCTTTGTAAACAATGCAAGGAGAAATTGTCAAAATTTTAAATTAGGCTGGGTTTTAAAGAGGAGCAAAATCCATGAAGCAGGCAGGCAGCAGACTGGAGACTTATCCTGTCTTACATGGTTGCAGGAG